AAAAAAAAAAAAAATCTTTAGAGAAAAGACATCCACTGAAAGGACCTGGCAAAATACACAGTGCTCAGTACACATGCTGCTAGCTTCTCTCCAGGATGCAATCCGTAATAGTTGAAGTGGCTTAACAAGAGTCAACAAGGATTCAGAACAAAATCCAGAAAAATTAATGCACGTTTGCTATTCCAGAGAACTCTCTCAAGCAATGTGCATTCTCTGCCCCCTCTACAGCACATACCAGCATCAGAATGCACACCAGTGATCCTATGCCTAAAGGTCATATTGGCAGCTAACTAGGACAGAGGGTCACACCTAATTTCACCGATGCTCAACAGAGTGCAGTCACCCTCCTTTACCACACACCTGTACAAGTAACCACAGGTGCCAGTATGCCACATCCTCTCCTGACCATCAGGACAGTGCCAGATGCTGGCCCTGTCATCCCTGTGTGTTGGACTTTGGCCTTCACTCAATACACAAACAAGGGAACAAACAATACACAGCCTCGGTGGCTTCTGCTGCCTTCCTAGGAAAATACAGTTGGAAAGAACCTGTCCAGAATTGAAACAGAAGACCTGGCGGGGAAGGTTTATGCTAAGTAATTGTGAAAAAGTTTTAAGACTAACTTTTAAACAAGGATTGAAGCATTTTATTAATAGAAATATTAAATGGAAAAAGTAATCTTGCAGAGAGAAATCCGAGACAGTAATATTTTTCCAAAGAGAAATGCAGAAATTAAATCATTTGTTAGCAGTACATGGGATTGGTGGTGGTGGTGGGTTGTTAGTTTTAAATTTCATGTTTTTCAAAGGCTATTGTAAAGCTAAATCCAGCAATTAAATAGCAGTTTAAATGATATACTGTTTCTGTACTTCACTAAAAAAAACCAAAATATTACTGGTTCACAGTAGCTTCAAGATAAAATTCTCACATCAACACCCAAAATCCCTCTTACTCCCAGTCAGCCTGGCCAGTGCAATTAACTCAATCCTAACTACGAGTAAAAGGTTTCTAAATGAATGCAAATGGTGACCACTAGAAATATGAAACCTAAAAGAAATATTTTTGATATCACATTCTTTCACACCTTGAACTAATTAAGGCAAGAGTAGTACATCACGTATTTTATATCTATATATATCTTTTTAAAAAACTTGTTCAATGCTACAGTACAATCACAAATCCAAAAAGCCATATTTAAAGTTTTCTGAACTACCAGACTCTGCCCCCCTCTCCTTCTTTTTTTTAAGTTGTGGTTTATGGTACGAAATACTAACAAAGAACATGCAGTGATTTAAATCTAATTCTGCTTGGATCATCAACCAAATCATTGCTACTGCTAAAATAAACTTCGCTGTTAGCTAACTTTTCCCTAAGTGAAATGAAATCCAAGTTATATTTAACTGAACCTGCATCTTCATGGACATCACTTATCACTAAACCCAAGAAGCAGGTAGTGGAAAGATCTTTGTCTAAGTACTAAATTGGCCAAAACAACTTAGAATTCTTGACTGCAATTTAAACTTGTCTCAGTTTGCAACAACTCTTATTTGGCAGGTGGGGAGAAGGTATTTGACAAAGGTACAAATTGAGAAACACATTACTCCAAAGGGTTAACACCAAAAGTAAGTTAAAATTAACAGGAGGCAAGCACACATTTTTAGTAAAAAACCAAAAAACAAAACAGCTTTAGAAGGTCATAGTAAGTTGCTTTCTCTTACCCATTTCCCGGAGTACTGGAGCACCCTGGAGAATGACTCAGAGAGGTGCTGCCGGCACAAGGACTCTTCTTAGTGGATAAATCAAGCACACCGTCTATAGAGACAAAAGAATGACTTCAGTGTTTGAAGAAGCAGGATCAGCCACATTGTCCCTTGACAAAACAAGTCTTTTGGGCTAAAGACATATTTAGCACACAGCATTTTCTATTTTATTTTATTTTTAAACAAACTAAGGCTTGGATTTGTTTGCAATTTGGCTTCCAAGTGACTTCAACACAGTCCTCAGAAGTCACAACAATATTTGGCAAAATTAAAAGTGCATCTGATACAAGAGCCAGAGAATAAAAGACAACCTACAAATGACAGTTCTGGATACAACACAGCCCACTGCATAACAAACCCTTAGCAGTCCCCAAATGAGACAGTTTTCAAATTCCTGAGATATTCCCCACCCCCCCCCGCCTTGCTTTAAGGGGGGCTTTAACCCTGGTCTGTTTTTTGTTTTGTTTGGGTTTTTTTTTTAATCCAAATATCTGTAGGAGAATTCACTGAGAATTTTATACTGAAAACTCACTTTCAAATGAACGCACACACACAAATGTGAGACTTCTCCTCACCTGGCAGCTAGCTTCATCCTTTTCCCATGTCTCCAATGGGTCCCTACTGTCAAAGCTGCTGCCTTTCCCCTCTCTATTGTGCCATTTTACTCCTTCTCTTCTTCCACATACCAAATTGTTTTTCTTGCTAGACTGCTTCTTCCATTCTCCCTAATGGCACTTCCTTACACTCAACCATGCTCCTCTGCAAGCCCTTACATAAACTCTGCATTTCTAGGCAACAGAAAAGGGAGCGCTTTTTGCTAGAAAAGCCTTGCTCCCACTGCACTGAAACAACTTGAAATCCTGGTCATTTTAATAAGGGAAACATTGTCATAGAAGCAGCACAGCCATCTGAAATTCCTGGAAGCTCTCAAACAAGGCATTTATGAGGCAAAGAAATGAAACCTGTTGGCAAAGTAAGCTAGAAACATTTTGGAGCTCCTCACTCATTCCATTTACTTAAGTAAATACCACCCAACACAAGAACAATGTAAGATGGCTTTCAGATTGCTTAAAGTTCTCATTTGACATATGGAGAAAAAACATGATAAACAGTGAACTAGAATTAACTTAGGAAAAGCTGTTCCACCCACTGCATTTGGGAATACATCATAACCCAAACTTAAGGAAGCAGAGAATTCAATCTTCCTCTTGAACAACACTTATGTAGCCACAAGAGACAGAGACTGGATCAAGTAGCATCTCCTTTTCGAGAGGGTACACTAAACAGCACTGCCAGAGGCACTTGCATCCACGCTTCCTCCCTCAGAAGGGTCATTATGACCTAGAAGTCTCCGAGGGCAAGCAGGGCCAGCCTCATACCTTCTGGAGAAGTTTCCAACTAGGTGGGTGCCCCTCAACCCGCCAGAACAGAAATATAACAAAAAGCATCCCTAGCAGTCTTTCACAACAGCCTCCAAAATCTCTCATTAACAAGCTTGGCAAAACCTCTTCCCAATTACATCAAATGTAAATTGGAAAAAAATAATTACAGATTACTGTATAAGTTAATACGCACATGTTCTAATTCCATAACAAGTGTTAGGAACATTATAAATTATCTTACAGTTTTTCTCTTATGTAGTAGCTAAAGAACAGTTCATGTACATGCTTTCTTCTTCACAATGAAAAAACCCAAACAAACAAACAAAACACCCAAAAGCAAAATTGATTCTCTCCCTCTCTCTTTCAGGGAAAAGCTTCACGATGAGAACAGTTTAACATCTATAAATACAAAAGACACCCGTGAAATGCATTTATAATAAAATTAGCTAGAAACAAATGCCTATCAACTAAACGTCCGGGTCCTCACTTTGAGGAAGACACCCTACAACCTCTCACTGCAGTTTGTGACTGAAGTGTGGCGACAGCCTTCAAGAAGTTCTGTAAGTGCAGCAAGTTCTGTAAGTCCAAGCTGCATATTGCTGGACACATAAAATTAACCTTTTTACAAAAGGCTTCAGAAACATAAGTTCAAAGAATAAAGGGATCCAATGATTCTGCACTAGCTAGCACAAGGCTCTTCTTTTTTTGTTAAAGGCACCTTTTTCACTTGAGGATGGACAGCCTACTTCGTATTTGATAGAATGATTTCAGACAGCAACACATTTCTAAAGAAGGGTAAAGGGACTAATTTTAACCCTATCACAGAATGTTGGGGATTGGAAGGGAC